GTGTTGTAAATAATTAGGAAATGTTACTATATAGTACAACATAAAAGAGTATTATTATCGCTTGCAATACAGTACCTCGAGTCTCGAATGGAACATGGTCGTCCTGTATACTTCCACGGTATTGTGACCCACCAAAGTACCTTTTGCCAGTATAAGACTCAAGCTTGTTTAGTTCATCTAATTTCTTTTCTATCGAAACAAAAAATTAGATGAAACAATAATTAATTTATACAATAATGAACTACGTAAAAAAAGCTAAACTAACAAAAAAAGCATAATCATGACAATAAAAGTATACATAACTTTGTTTGCATAATTATATTAATATAGCTGAATAATTTAATTAAAACATTATTGAGAAAATTAAATTATTATTATTACATTGGAAACATTTAATTGAAGAATGAAGAAAACTGAACATAAAAATAACCTAACATTGTTTTAATTTAAAGAGAAACCAAAAATACATTTAAATAATGATATTAGAAAACACATGAAGTCATACAAAATCAATATAAAAAATTGGAAAAAAAATAAATAAATAAAGAATAAGTTCATCACATAAAGGTAAAAATAGTAATACGTGGAACAGAGCTACTATTACATGAACATTGATTTAAAAGTTCTTTTACTTAATACTGCCATTTACAAAGAAATATTATTTTGTCCCATTTTAGGAAGGTCAGCTGGTAAGGCCAATAAAAAAAAATTCTTGTGTTGGCCCCGTTTTGGAAAAATCCAAAAAATGGGTAGGTTGGTAGAAAAAGTTTTTTTTAAATTTTATTTTTTTTTTACCAAAAATTGTTTATGCCTAAAAAGTAGAAAATACACAAAAATAAAGACCATTTTAAAATCTATATTGAAGAGCAAAATGATCGCATAACACTACAAGATAGGCCTATTAAAGCCTTTTTAGCTCATTAAAAAAATATTTTTCGATGTGAAAAAAACAAACTAAAATGCCGACTCTCAATTTCGAACATTTTGTCGGGCGTGGCCAACACAATAATTTTTTTTATTTGGCCTAACAGCTGTACACTACACAATGCACCACTATACCAGTGGTTCCGAACTTGACGTTCATAATTGGGAATCCACCAAGTCAAAAGGATCTGCAGGATACTTATTGAAACAGAATATGACTGGTTCTGTGAAACAAGAATTTTCTTACACTAAAGTAGATAAATAAGAAAAAGCAGAAGTTCTCACCTAATCGCTGCATCCTTGAGTATAATTTTGTTGTTTCATCAGGAAAGTAATTATGAAACTCTGGAGACTGTTCACCAATAAGATCCAGTAATACAAAAACATCCTATGAAATTAATATTAATTATCAACTATCCAGTTACATTAGGATCCAGTAACATTTTTGGATTAATAAACAGAAACTACTAATAAGCAATTTGATTTTCTCAATATCTCTTGTATTGTTTTCATGGCTATATGTGTGCAAAAAATATCAAATTAATTTTACTTTCAAAAGAATAATAACATCAATAGAAGAGTTTTGTAAAAAAACAATAGTAAACACAAGTAGCAGATTCAAAAATTCAAAATAGAGGGGCTTGGGGTAGAGATTTTACAGACACTGGGTCCAGAGTACCTCTACCTTGCCATGGTTGGGGCTGAGGTACAAAATTGTACATCTATGGTATTACAGATTACAGGAAAACTAAATTTGAAGGTAATTTTCTTTTCCCCCATTTTTTTTTTTTTTTTTTTTTTTTAATTTTCAAAAATGTAGGTGCAACCTGGAATAACTCCCCCACTCCCATCCGACCCCTTGAATCCACCTCTAACAACTTCTGTAATCTAATCATAATTTCAAATTTCTAGCTTACAATTGCATCAATTTCCTTTTTACCAGACTGTGTGTCTGAGTGTGGGGTATCTGCCATGCGTGCTGCTAGTTTACGTGATCCGTAGATTGAGTCATAACTGGTCCAACGCACAAATGCTTCCTCACCATCAAAAAACAACAGTTGTATTGTTAACTCCTAAAACAAAAAAAAAGAATGTGATGTTGCGGCATAAAAGGCAAGTAATCGGAATGGTTATCATTTAATAGTGAAGTTGGAGGTATAGTCCCTCACTGTCCACTTGGCCTGTATGGGCTCATTCATACTTAGGTTATAATCTGGAAAATTTCAGTGGGTAAAGAATTCGAAAGAAATATGAACGGGAGCAATTTAAAAAACATCTAGCTGAAATGTCTTCCAGCCAACCCACCAAATTTACTGATAAAATGGTGCCTGCGGGCAATCCTCCTAACCTCGGTGGTAACATTGATTACTTTAACAGGCTTGTTAGAGATGTCCACTACTCTACTTATCAATGTAGATATAGCATGGAGTTATAAAATTAAGTAAAAATAACCTTATTGTTGTATTCACCACCTTCTTTCTTACTTTTGATAAGAATTTAGCTCGTTATTACCTTAATGATGTGGATTGAAATTCATCACGAACATGTTGAATGAATTTATGAGCGGAGGCGAACAAGGTAGACCCTAGGCCTGGCTAGAGGAGTGCTCTTCGAATAAGAGTAGTCTTTTTTTTTTTAGCATGTCCAAATAGCTACACTTAATTCCCATCCTAGGCTGGAATGATATTAATAAACTAGGCCTAAGTTCAGTAGTAGTAGCACAGAAGTTGGACACTGTGTATTTTGTTTCATCCAAGCCTAGAATAATAGGCCTACAGGTAATACAGTCTTTGTTATGATCATAATAATAACATGACGATTCGGTGGGGTAGCGTGGTCCGAATGTGCACGATTGATGATGAATGATGAAAGGTCACTTAACTTCATATCCCATAATGCCTGCAAGTCCCGGTGAGTTTTAAAGATGACCTTGTTATTGCCAACTAATGTACGAGGTATGAATGAGAGTAGGACATGGACTACAGACAGATTTTATAACTAAAGTAAAAGGCAAGTTGATGTATAAACACAAGCTATGGGTCTAACATATTATTATCATTATTTATTCAAATTTCCTTTGACAAAAAAATATTAAATGTCCATATATAGTCATGATGTGCCTATATATGGTTGTGAAGTAATGTCATCATGACCATATTTTAGCACGTCACATTTTCTGATTAAAATTTTTATTTTGTTTTATTTTAAAGTCTGGTCAGGGCTTACAAACAAAATTCAGAATATCAATAACATTGTGAAAACATTTGTTAACTTACAGAGAAATCAAGCGACTTTGATGCAATATATGAATGAAGGTTCTCCGCCAAGTGAATAAGCATAGCACATGGTACTGCAGAGTCTGTCGCCCCCACAAACATTTTACCAGTAGTATCCGGTTCCATATATTTACTATCATGGTGACACGCTAATACCAG